CACGCTCCTGATGATTGCGTCATCATGGTCAACGTTGGAGGTTTCCGGCAAAGAATGGAGCACGGTGTTCTCAAACGCTTCCCTCACACTCGCCTGGCACGTCTCCTGTGTTGTAGCTCCGAAGAAGCCATCCTGGAGCTCTGCGATGACTTTGTTGCAGCAGAAATGGAATACTATTTTGACCGCAATCCACTTTTCTTCTGCTACATCCTCAACTTTTACTTGACGGGCAAAATGCACCTGGCGGACGGTTGGTGCTTCCTGTCCTTCCGCCAAGAGGTCGAGTATTGGGGCATCCAGGATCACCATCTGGACTTGTGCTGTTGCAACAAATTCCAAGAACTCCTTGATCAGACTGAGGACCTGGGCTGGGATCAGGGGAGCGTGGACCTCCACGACTCATCGGTGGAGGAGAAGTCCGAAGTGGATTTGTTCGACGGCACCTGGTGTGCGGATGTCCGTCGGAACATTTGGCTCCACCTTGAGAATCCGTCGTACTCCGCTTCGGCCAAAGCGATGGCCGTCACGTCTTTGAGCGTGGTTCTGGTCTCCATTGCGGCCATGTGTGTCCACAGCATGCCAGACATCCGTCAAGTGGACCACAACAATAGAGAAACTGAACATCCGGGGCTTGCCTTCCTCGAAAACCTTTGCGTCTTCTTATTTTCCGCAGAGTTTCTCCTCCGTCTGGCCGTGGTTCCGTCAGCCAAGAAGTTCTTGTGCAGCCCTCTCAATGTTATCGACTTGATGTCCATCACTCCTTTCTACGTGACCTTGGCTTGGGATTTCGGCCCGGTGGCCGAAGATGACAACTCGGAGTTGGAGAACGTTGGTAAAGCGATGCAGATCTTGAGGCTCATGCGACTGTTCCGCATTCTCAAACTGGCCCGCCACTCGGCCGGCCTCCGCTCTCTTGGTGCCACGCTGCGACACAGCGGCCGTGAGGTGGGGCTCCTGACGCTTTTCTTATTTGTGGGAATCTCCATGTTCTCTGCCCTCATGTACTTTGTAGAAAAGGAGGCCCCGGAGTCCGAGCTGCAGACCATCCCTATCGGCTGGTGGTGGGCCACCATCAGCATGACAACGGTGGGCTATGGGGACACCTTTCCTGTTACTCTCGCTGGGAAGGTCATAGCAACGCTCTGCATTCTCTCTGGGCTGCTTATTGTGGCTTTGCCCATCACCAACATCTTCAATACGTTCTCGAACTTCTACCAGAAACAAAAGAAAGTAGACGGCTTTTCAAATCACGAACCAGCGACTTCATTATATGGTTTAATAAACACGAATCATGACACAAGGATCATGACACGAGGAACGTCCTATCTGGCCGCAACGCTCTCTGGTCGCTATGGTAACGTTTTAAACGTGCCTTCAAAATAAGATACGCCGAAAATACAAAGCGTGTGAAAAATACGACTCATCATCGACGGATGTTATGCAGAGTGGGCTTGGTGCGTGGGAATCTGCCATTGAGATAAATCCGTATTTTAAATAGGACTCCCGATACTGTCCATTAAATTTTGCCTTCTTTTTCTTGAAAGTCATAGGATCCTTTTCTGTCTCCTGGCTGGGCCTTTTTCCCTTCCCATAGACATTTGTTTTTGACTCATTTTGCTAGCTCCCGGGTTTCATTTTAGCAGTAACTTATCACATGACCGGGAAGCGCGCCTTGACCTGCGTCAAGAGTGGCATACTGTAATGTAACAGGGGATCTGGTAATTTTTCAAAATAAAACATCTTTTAGAGTCCGAAATAAATAAAGCTGAACTAATGTAAGTTATTTATTCTTTCTGTGCGGCCCGGTACCAAAAGACCCACGGAACGGTGCCGGTCCGCGGCCCGGGGTTTGGGGACCACTGGATGAGATGATAAACCTGAACATATAAGAGGCACACTAATTTTTTTGGTTCTGTCTGTGCGTGAAGGCAATCATTCTCTCCTCCAGAAGGAGACTCTCCTCCAGAAGGACCAAGCAGCTTCTATCGCATGATGGTGTATGGGCACGCTCCTGATGATTGCGTCATCATGGTCAACGTTGGAGGTTTCCGGCAAAGAATGGAGCACGGCGTTCTCAAACGCTTCCCTCACACTCGCCTGGCACGTCTCCTGTGTTGTAGCTCTGAAGAAGCCATCCTGGAGCTCTGCGATGACTTTGTTGCAGCAGAAATGGAATACTATTTTGACCGCAATCCACTTTTCTTCTGCTACATCCTCAACTTTTACTTGACGGGCAAAATGCACCTGGCGGACGGTTGGTGCTTCCTGTCCTTCCGCCAAGAGGTCGAGTATTGGGGCATCCAGGATCACCATCTGGACTTGTGCTGTTGCAACAAATTCCAAGAACTCCTTGATCAGACTGAGGACCTGGGCTGGGATCAGGGGAGCGTGGACCTCCACGACTCATCGGTGGAGGAGAAGTCCGAAGTGGATTTGTTCGACGGCACCTGGTGTGCGGATGTCCGTCGGAACATTTGGCTCCACCTTGAGAATCCGTCGTACTCCGCTTCGGCCAAAGCGATGGCCGTCACGTCTTTGAGCGTGGTTCTGGTCTCCATTGCGGCCATGTGTGTCCACAGCATGCCAGACATCCGTCAAGTGGACCACAACAATAGAGAAACTGAACATCCGGGGCTTGCCTTCCTCGAAAACCTTTGCGTCTTCTTATTTTCCGCAGAGTTTCTCCTCCGTCTGGCCGTGGTTCCGTCAGCCAAGAAGTTCTTGTGCAGCCCTCTCAATGTTATCGACTTGATGTCCATCACTCCTTTCTACGTGACCTTGGCTTGGGATTTCGGCCCGGTGGCCGAAGATGACAACTCGGAGTTGGAGAACGTTGGTAAAGCGATGCAGATCTTGAGGCTCATGCGACTGTTCCGCATTCTCAAACTGGCCCGCCACTCGGCCGGCCTCCGCTCTCTTGGTGCCACGCTGCGACACAGCGGCCGTGAGGTGGGGCTCCTGACGCTTTTCTTATTTGTGGGAATCTCCATGTTCTCTGCCCTCATGTACTTTGTAGAAAAGGAGGCCCCGGAGTCCGAGCTGCAGACCATCCCTATCGGCTGGTGGTGGGCCACCATCAGCATGACAACGGTGGGCTATGGGGACACCTTTCCTGTTACTCTCGCTGGGAAGGTCATAGCAACGCTCTGCATTCTCTCTGGGCTGCTTATTGTGGCTTTGCCCATCACCAACATCTTCAATACGTTCTCGAACTTCTACCAGAAACAAAAGAAAGTAGACGGCTTTTCAAATCACGAACCAGCGACTTCATTATATGGTTTAAAATCTTACAGGAAGGACACAACAGCATCACAAAATGAAGATCTCATACCCCTGAAAGTGGCCCCTGAGCATTGAGCACATCCACCCCAATTTTGAAGTGGGGTTGATTGACGACACTAAATTGTTTTTAGATGTGAGTCTTTGTCTCTATGTGCCCTGCGATTGGCTGAATGACCATTTCAGGCTGTACCCTGCCTCTCACCCCAAAAATCAGCTTGGGTAAGCGCCACCATACCTGTGGCTCTAACGAGGATAAGTACAGTAGAAGGTGGATGGATGTCCTCAAGAGCCAATACTAACCTCGTCTTTCCTGTCGAGGCCAAAATCAACAGTGAGGTGCATTCTGGGACAATATGTACACCATTCCTCTCATACTTTGTAAATTGAATGTTGAAAGAATGGTTAATGAATAAAATGACTTTCATGGAACTCAATTCTTACATATTAGCCTATTTTAGCTTAATTAATGATTAAACCACAAAACAACACTATTTTGTATTTATTTTGTACAAATAAAGGCCTCCCCGTAAATACAGGCACTCACTACCATAGAAGTAAAAAGCTTACGGGTAGTTTACTAAGTTAGCCAAACAGTGGTGAGAGAATTAAATGTTGCAAATCCCATTTTCCAGCAAGGAATAAGTTGTAATGTTTGTTTTCTATCTCATACCTTATTAGTAGGAATCTGTTCTTATATTACCATGCTTTTTTTTTTTTTTAGAAGGAAATAATAAATGATGTGAACAAATTGCTTCATGAATATAAAGTGAGAGCCATAATGGTTTGTTTTTTTCCGTTATCAGGCAAAGCAACTGTTTGAGTACTTCCTGTATGGACACACGGTCGATGTGGGAAACAGTTCTTAAGGACAGGTCAACCTCAATATGTTTACAAAGCTGTCCGAGAAAGGATGTGCTACATTCCACCACACTTGCTGTTCTGTTGCACTCAAGTGTTACTGATCTGTGTGTCTTGTTTTCCCATAGCGGTCGTTGCTTTGCTATTCCAATTTCTCTGTCCAATAAGTCCAAGCAAAGGGCTGCTAATCAACTCCTTTGTTAACCATGCACGCATTCTGACACCAAGGGCTAAATTCCCCATCTTAAAAGTATCCTAACATCTGTGGTCTTAAATTAGAAATGTGCAATTTATCAAGTTAAAACTAGTAAGTTTTGTTTATAGGTGATGATTAAGAGTTGGGGCTTCCTCTCACTGCGGAGTACTTAATACACAGAGTTCTAGCTTGTGACTGCAGCATTGTGAAAGGCCCGCATCAGCACTCCGATGCGAGGTCACTTTATGATTTGCACTTGACGCTGTCGTGTCAAAGTCACAATGCAATACATTTAGCACTGTATCCATTTAGCGGCAAAAGAGCGCATCAGCAATACCTGTGATCGTGTTGGTGTTCAAGGACTCCCAGCTAATGTTTTTGCACAGATCAGGCTAACTGAACTAACTCACAGTGAGGTGCTTGATGTCAACTTATCACACAGGGCAAAAGGACAAAAATCTCTCGCAGGAAAAATGAATTGAAAATGAATACAGTCGGCTTTGAATTTTAATTTCAGTTGGCTTCATTTGACCCTAAGGGAGTTTATCAACATTTCAGCCAAGTGTGTTTTTAAAAAATTCTAAAACCTGGGTTAAACCTTTTAACCATAATTATAAAAGGTATTATTGGCATAAACACAACACTGCTCATCATAAAATGAACATAGTACGTACGTACGTACAATAAAGCATGGTGGCGGCGGCTGCTTTTCTTCAGCTGGAACTGGGGCCTTAGTCAAGGTGGGAGGAATTATGATCAATTCCAAAGAGCCATAAGGCTGCTGCGAGAGAACAAAGAAAAAAGCCGAGCTAGGAAAAGCCTTCTAGAACATCTGAAATATATCTGGGGCTAATCGGAGGCATTTAAAATGGTGGCAGTTGTGTGGTGACTCCCACAAGTGAATGCAATCGGTACGTTCTGAACATAGCCAGCTTTGAACTTGAAAAGGTTCAACAACTGCATGTATGCTTTGTCTGTCATGCTTGCAGGACTTTAAGAAGGTGCTACATGCTGAATGCTGCTCCCTCAGTGGCCTACCTATCATATATCAGTTTGCCTTAAAATGTTAACGAAAAATCAACAATGATTGCAAGGGACAAACATTTATTGTAACCCTACAAAAGACACAGGTGAGAAAAATACAAAACAAAAAAATGAAACTATTATAGAAATGAAAAACCAAAAAAAAAAAAAATTTCTCATTCTTACACAAGTCTCAAGTTATCCACTGTACACAGACCACAGTTTATTAATCATATTTTTAATATATCTTTTTTTTCCCCGTAATGCTGTGTACATACAAAATATAGCAAACTAAATAAGGCAAATAAATAGAGGTACAATTTACAGGAAAATGCAACATTCCTCAACGTTTTATTGGTGTTTTAGTTTTAGCTCAAACATCAAGAACGGTGTACAAAATATTTTTGTTTTGTTTTCTTCCAACTGTACATCTTTTTGTGAAGGGTACTTTTCTTTTCAACCATACAAAATACTGACTTGTCACATTTATACAGCCTCCAAAAAGTGGGTGCAACATTTCTCAGGCAGTACAAAGTGATGTATAACTTTAATAACGTTTTTTTTTTTCCTTTTTCTTTTTAATAGCGCAAGCAACATCCTATTCAAAGGTTAAATTCAATATCACACTGTGTGCACACTTCTTTGGGCATGCAGCTTTTGATGCCAAGTGCATGTTTGAACACAAAACTAAACACCTCCCAGCCCCTCCCCCCCTTTTTTTTCTTTTTTGACATTGCAAAATCAAGGACGCAGACATGTACGGTCTGTGTCCTCCATAATCCCGTCTCTCATCCCTCATTTTTCCAGCGGCCCAGCCGGAGTACCAATCACTTGCCTCTTTCCTCTTTTAACAACACTTTATTTTTTCGTATTTTTTTTTGCAGCACCCTTCGCAGTTCAAAGAACTCTAAACAACATTGCAAATGGAAATGTCCCGTATAAAAGTGCATCGAAAAAAAAAAACTACTCATGTCATTGAGTTTTCCATCTTTGACACCCCAAAAATCAGCCAGTCAATGGCCTATAATAAACATCCAAACGTGGAACAAAACACACATGTAAGAATACTGACAAGGTTGCAGTAAATAGTTTGCCCTAAAATGTGGGGTTAAAGTTTCAGGTTAAGTGTCGAAAAGGTTCTGCCAAAGTTGGATATACGAAGTGATTAACTGGAAAGACAAAGAAAGGATGATGAGCGGGAAGGAAAAATCTACACGAGATGCTGGTTAAAGAGGTTCTGATTTCACGGGCGCCACCAAGTTCGTTTCGAGGTGGGCCACACATTCAGTTTGAGGGCAAATGGTTAAAAGACTTAAATAACAAAGGCTAAACATGAATGCAAGTGGTGGGAGACTGAACTTCCACTGTTACTCATTTTCAGACATGTCAATCTTGACTGTCCTGGGATCCAGCTACAGAGCTGCTGTTTATTATTTACTGCACGGGAACGCGAGCAGTCACCTGTGCTCCACATATGTCCTTTATCAGCTGCATTTTCTCTCTCTCTCTCTCTCTCTCTCTCTCTCTCTCTCTCTCTCTCTCTATTTTTTTTTTTTTAAACCAGCATACTGGACATCCATTTGAAGTACCACACAGAAAGAGGAATGGTACTTGTGCACAAAGAAGGGTCAGAGGCACTTCAAGGTGAGTATGTGGTCAAAAGAAGGTGACACGATGAAGGACAAAACTTCGGGAAACTTCAGAAAATACGGCGTCTTTTCTCCTCATCAGAAAACTTCATGACGGAGTAACACCGAGTGCTTGTTGAGTCAAGTGAATGGGAAGGACTTGGGAGCAGTGTTGCGGTGCTGTTAATTCACTTAGTCGGAGAATAACACTGGTGCTTTTCAACAATAGGGGGTGCAAATCATATGAGCTCCACATCAGACTAAATATTTGATGCACCGGAAAATTCCAAGGTACTGATTTTTAAACTGTTATGTGGCGAAAAATAATGTCTTTTCATGTTATATTTCAGTATCACATAGTTCACCGTCAGCTTTCTTAAATTGTCCCCTTCAATGACCTATGAACATGTTGCCCTCTAGTGGTGATATAACGAACTACAATATTCTTGCACTGAGCCCACCACCCACACTGCAGCATTTGTGGCATTTACTAAGATTCTCAAAATGGATAGATTCAATTCCTTCTATCGCTACTTGCAAAAGTGTTTCAATCAAGCCATGTTTGCAGCGGTAGGTCGCCAATCAAAATGCTTTCTTGACATACAAACGAGCAGAAACATGGAAGTAAAGATTGTTTTTCAACAACGTGTCAGTGTGCACCATTTAGAGACAACATGGGAATCTGTAAAGGCCAATGGCATTGCAGCAAGTGTAGACATGGAATGGCAGCCCGGCAGAATCTTGGTGCTAATAATTAGACTGGCGGCTGTGACTGAGGCGAGCTACTTGGAATTGTGAACCATGACCAGCGTGGAGCAGGCAGGCTGGGAGCGGATCATGGAAACAAAACGCTTCTGTAAGTGTTGAAAATGTGTATAAATGTGTATATTCCCAAATGGCGTTCCTTTTGTTGGCCAGAGAGAGGACGCGCGAAGTGTAGGCTGGCGAGACAAGAGGAGCTGCAGTGCAACAAGACGAACAAAACATAGAATCTCATTTCATTTCAGAGTACAAAACCCCCAAAATGCCATGAACACGTTAAAAAAAAAACACTTAAATTGTCCCCTTCAATGACCTATGAACATGTTGCCCTCTAGTGGTGATATAACGAACTACAATATTCTTGCACTGAGCCCACCACCCACACTGCAGCATTTGTGGCATTTACTAAGATTCTCAAAATGGATAGATTCAATTCCTTCTATCGCTACTTGCAAAAGTGTTTCAATCAAGCCATGTTTGCAGCGGTAGGTCGCCAATCAAAATGCTTTCTTGACATACAAACGAGCAGAAACATGGAAGTAAAGATTGTTTTTCAACAACGTGTCAGTGTGCACCATTTAGAGACAACATGGGAATCTGTAAAGGCCAATGGCATTGCAGCAAGTGTAGACATGGAATGGCAGCCCGGCAGAATCTTGGTGCTAATAATTAGACGGGCGGCTGTGACTGAGGCGAGCTACTTGGAATTGTGAACCATGACCAGCGTGGAGCAGGCAGGCTGGGAGCGGATCATGGAAACAAAACGCTTCTGTAAGTGTTGAAAATGTGTATAAATGTGTATATTCCCAAATGGCGTTCCTTTTGTTGGCCAGAGAGAGGACGCGCGAAGTGTAGG